CATCGTTTTCCTGCAGTGCATTGTTACGCTGATGACACGTAGGTATATATCTCATTCCACCCAAATGACACTCCAGTTAATCAATTTAATGCTGTGGAGTTACTGGAAAGATTCATTGATGACATTCGTGCTTGAATGTTACATGACAAGCTAAAACTAAATGATGAAAAGACTGAACTTCTTATTATCGGTACACCGCAACAGCTTGATAAGGTGGTTATCACTCATATTCGTGTAGGCAATACCAACATTCACCCTGTGCCTTTTGCTAGGAACCTTGGCTCATGGTTTGATGCCAATATGTCTATGTTGGATCATATTTCAAAAACTTGTAAATCATCCTTCCACTATTTGTATAACATACATCGTATCTGGAAGTATCTCTCCAAACAGTCAACAGAGTCACTTATTCATGCTTTCATATCTAGTCATCTTGGCTATTGTAACAGTTTATTGTATGGTCTGCCAAACTGCTCATTGATCAAATTACAACGTGCGCAGGTTGCCTGTGCTAGACTGATATTCAGGGTTCATACGGGTCCTGGGAATCCTGGAAAGTCCTGGAATTTTATTGTTCCATTTTCCAGGACTGGAAAGTCCTGGAAAAGTAATGCTGGTCCTGGAAAGTCCTGGAAATCTGTTAAACTGAATAAAGTAATAAAGTTTTCCCTAAAACAAATGAGAAAAGTTTTTTTAGTATTTTTATAACATATGCCTTTCTGGTTTTGACCACATGACCGCATCAATATTTTTTCATGTTTCCCGGAACTGACACGAGTGTAACTCTGGATCAAGGGCTCATGTATCATCATAAGCTCATGCGCAGTAGCTGTAACCCAGGTTAATTTTGGAGTCCTGGAAGAATAATCTGAAGCCTGGAAAAGACCTGGAAAATTGTTTCTGAAAAAGAGTACGAACCATGGATATTTGCTGAGTGTAGTTATTGTCACATAACACCTCTTCTAATCAAGTTGCATTGGTTGCCGATTCAGTCTAGAATTGTAGTCAAGATTCTTCTGTTAAGGAGGCTGGATATAGTTTCTATGGCGCATGCAGACTGGGTTCTAATTTACCTGGGACTTTTAAAAGTTGGAAAAAAAAAAGAACACACACACACACAAACAAACAAACATGGCCGCCGTGCTTAGGCCAGAATAATTTTTTCATCTGCCTAGTAGACTATGTTTTATGCCTCTAGGTAGGCTGCCTACACTTTCCTCTAACTTTATTAGTAGTGTGTTTCAAAAACGGAAAGCTACGACACTCTCAAGTGACCAAAATACGTGTGAATCCGGCCACTAACACAATCGCGATCGTTGGAGCTATTTTCTCATATTGTGGCTGGTTTCCGGAACACTAAATAGGTGCTAACTACATGTAATATCAGCAGCTATGCTTCTTGTGTAAACAAGTCACTGTCAAAACTTTGAATGTATGGTGAGAGAACTTTGCTCAAAGAGAATGTTCCAGCACACTCCTGAGCGAATGTCTTCAATCTTTTACCACTTTCCTTTCCAGCAGTACACATTGTCACACCATTTTAATTGGCCATAATTCTTCTGTGTTCAACACTCCTACACTCCTACGATGTGCTGGAAATTCAAATAAAGAAACATTATCGTCGAAGAAAGTGTTTTTGGCCGATAACCTTACACTCATCAAAACACTCGCTAAAGGTTGTAACGCTCTCCTCAATCCTGACGGAAAACCATGTTACAAGCAATCTCCCTTCTGTGTATCAAGCCGTTTTTTTATGAAGATTTCAATGCACATTATGCTTTGGAAGATGTACGTGCCCTCCACTGTGTCCTCTTTCAATCCTCGTTGTAGGTAACAAGCACTGACATTGTAAACAACGCATGTGAAATCCGCCTCCTTTGCTTTCGTAGACATGGACTTTCTTGACGGACGCCACGAACGCATGTAAACTTTCAAAGACAAGCTTTCACAGGGCAATAGCGGGCTCCTCGTCAAAGAAAACATCATTCAGAAAATTGCAGAAAGCGGTCTGTGTTACGATGACTTAAAAGATCTTTACAAAAACGGTGGGAAGGAAGCACTGGTCTCCATTCTTAGCAAATCACCAACCACATTACGGGTGTGTAGGAAACAAAGACCTAAGGCCCAAAAACAAAGACCCCCGTCAAAATCACTCATAAACATCTAGAGACGGGTATCTTGGCCTCAGATGTGTAAAGAGGACAAGATCTTCAATTACACAAAATTTTGACCAGGGTCTTCATTTTCTACACATCCCCCCCGGTGTGTAGAAAACAAAGACCCCCCTCAAAATCACCTGGAAACAGCTGGAAACCTCTTTTAATGACTCCAAGACATCAAAGGAGCGTAAAAAACAACAATGCTCCTCAAGATTTTCAATTATAAAGAATTTCGACCAGGGTCTTCGTTTCCTACACATCCCCCCCGGTGTGTAGAAAACAAAGACCCCCTCAAAATTACTTGGAAACAGCTGGAAACTGCTTTTAACAACTCCTAGACATCAAAGGAGTGTAAAAAACAACACGGCTCCTCAAAAGTTTCAATTATAAAGAATTTCAACCAGGGTCTTCGTTTTCTACACATCCCCCCCGGTGTGTAGAAAACAAAGACCCCCCTCAAAATCACTCCAAAACAGCTGGAAACTGCTTCTAATGACTCCTAGACATCAAAGGAGTGTAAAAAACAGCACCGCCCCTGACGATTTTCAATTATAAAAAAATTTTGACTAGGGTCTGTCTGAGGTTTCTTCGGAATCATCTTTTGCTGTAAAGCGTTCATGACATTAAATAGCCATGTCACTGGGAGATCCTAGAGTTGTCAAGGGGTGAAATGCCCAGCCTTGTTGCTATCAACATCAACATTTTTCATCTTTAAGCAACCACAAAAACAGCGTGCTCAACAAGAACGTTAACAAAATATGAACAAACAATTGAGAATCCCTCATTCATGTATCTACTGTCGAACCTCGATGTAACCAACCTCTATATAAAAGACCATTTTCTTTAGCCCAGCAAAAAAGGTACAGTAAAATCTCGATTTAACCAACCTCCGTTTAACGAATTCCTCGTTATAATTCAGGGGCACCCAAGGACTGTTTTCTGAGAAATTATCTGAAATGCCTCTTTATGCTTCCAGGAGTACATTAAAAGTAATCATAAATGAATTATTCGAATTCGCATTGCTCAAAAAATTTGATCTGTAGTCTTCCTAGGGGGGGATGTGTAGAAAATGAAGACCCTGGTCGAAATTCTTTAAAATTGAAAATCTTGAGCCGTGTAGTTTTTTACACTCCTTTGATGTCTAGGAGTTAAAAGTTAAAAGAGGTTTCCAGCTGTTTCCGAGTGATTTTCAGGGGGGTCTTCGTTTTCTACACACCGGGGGATGTGTAGAAAACGAAGACCCTGGTCGAAATTCTTTATAATTGAAAATCTTCCGGAGCCGTGTTGTTTTTTACACTCCTTTTATGTCTAGGAGTCTTTAAAAGCAGTTTCCAGCCGTTTCCGAGTGATTTTGAGGGGGGTCTTCGTTTTCTACACACCAGGAGCGATGTGTAGAAAACGAAGACCCTGGTCAAAATTTTGTGTAATCGAAGATCTTGTCTTCTTTACACATCTGAGGCCAAGATACCCGTCTCTAGATGTTTATGAGTGATTTTGAGGGGCGTCTTCGTTTTTGGGTCTTAGGTCTTAGGTCTTCGTTTTCTACACACCCACCACATCGCGTCGATCAGCTCCAAGAGGAACAAAACATCCCGACACTTTGCACAAAATAATCCAGCACTTTGAAGGTAAATAGAACAGCAGCCATTACCAGGCACAATCCACCCAGAAGGTGAACCTCTCTTAGCAAAATAAAGCTCTTTAGAAGAGCGCGAAGGGTGTTCAGTAAAGAAGATGTCCAAAACCTCGTGGCATCCGTGGCAAGTGTCGTGGCGTGACACAGATGTTGCACATGCACAATTGCCCATCTTGTTGAGTCGAAATTTTCGGAAATTTGAAACTTTATATACTTAGGTATTTCAGTTTCCGCTCGGTGAATTTTTTTTATTTTTTGCACGTTAACTTGGAACGGCTCTGTGCGTGTTTTACAAAAATTCGAAAAAATTCTGTAACAGGGAAAAAAGTTAACGATGAATTCTAAAAAAGGCCCCTTTTCCTTAAACTTTCTGACAGAATTTTTTTAAACTTAACAGTCAACTAGACCAAGACAGTCAAAGGACGTATACAAAATCTAAAATAAATTCACCATCCAGTTTTTAAGAAAATTCAAGTCAAGTCTAATTTTGGACCCAGCATTGCAAGCCAGCAACGTTGCCATTTTTTCAATATATTTACAACAAACTGATTCTTCAATAATATCTTTATTTCAGGGGAAAATGTGATCGTGATTCGTTAAAGCTAAGCTTCGTAATTTTAGTTTAAATATCTTGCATCAGAAAAGTGAAAAACTATATCCGCCTCCTTAACTTTCAAGATCTTGCATGGTACAGCTCCCACTTACTTGGATTCATTGATTTCTCTAAAGTCTCAGTCATGCTATAACCTGAGAAGCTCTTGTGACACCCTCTTGCTTATCCAACCCAGATTCAAATCTAAAGTGACACTTGTTGACAGGTCGTTTACTTGCGCAGCACCTAAACTCTGGAATGCATTACCATTCGAAGTTAGAAACTCTAAGTCATTGGATATTTTTAAATCAAAGTTAAAAGCACGCCTCTTTCATTTAGCGTTTTTATCTTAGCCTGAACACGATATTATAATAGCAGTATTAGTATAACCTTAGTATTTGTATGTAGTTCTAGTATTTATTTTATTTTATTTTAATAGTTGTATTAATTATTAGTGTTATTTTATTGTGAAGCGCGTTTGAACATTGTATGGAATTTGCACTATACAAATTATTATTATTATTATAAATTATTATCATAGTGGACTTATACTTCAGCTATAAACTTTGATGCACAACTGAGTGTGTTATTTCTGTTTTATTCTCTGCTACAGGGGTGGACACATATTTTACCAATGACAAAGCTACAACCAGGTTACCCTTCCATGGCTCATAATTTTTTTAACATTAACAACTCCCAAAGGTGGACTCATCTTAGACTTAATATCTATCCAGGTAATGTTATGTTTAATTAAACATCAATTATTAAACTAACAAGTTTCATATTTCCTATTTGTCTATAATTATGATCAATGCCAATTTCATAGACATTGATGGGTGTGGACAAAATGTGGGGTAGGCCAAGGGCGGCCTACCCTATGGCCTACCCTATGGCCTACCCTATGGCCTACTGGGGCTCAGATTTTGGAAAAAGTGAAGAACAGCTCCCCCAAAAACTGTCGGCCAACTGTTGACCAAAAGTCGGCCAACGGTTGGTCAACAGTTGGCCAACTGTCGGCTAACAGTTGGCCGACTGTCAGTTACCGCCTTTTACGAAAATCTTCTGCCAACAGTCGGCCGACTGTTGGCAGAATGTCAGTAATTTGTTGGCCAAGTGTCGGTTGAGAACCCCTGTTGAATACCAGAAAAGCCTCAGCTCGCATGGAAGAACATTGCATATCAACGCGAATTGAAACTTTCTCACTTGAGTCCACCATTTTTTTTAGGTTTGGGACCAGTCTCATTGCAATCTCCTATGTTTAGGTTTTTTAGTTACCAAATCCCATTGCATCATCCTCGCAGTCAAGAAGCAAAAAATTTGTTGACAGCGGCTTCTTGCAGCTTTTTTTTTTTGCTTTACTAAAAGTAAGCAGCTTTTATTGCCTCTGACAAGTGACTACGTAAAAAAATAATAAACTAACTGAAAATATTTACCAAATATAAACTCAAACAGACAGAGATAATAGGCCATTTTACAGTTGTGTACTTAGTTGCCAAGCCTTTCATTCAGAGTGAGGCTGAAGGTGACCTTGTTGTGATAGAGACCTGTATCTACTTAGCATGATAACAAAGTGATTTACATTTGAAAGGCAGCAAGGTTTGTATCATAACAGGGTCAACCCTAGCCTCACTCCCATTCAAAGGCTTGGCAACCAAGCACACAACTGTAAAATGGACTATTGAAAGTCCATATAGGTATAGGTAAAGTCTGTTTACGAGCCTAAGTGGCCCATAAGGCCAGTGCTTAACTCCGGTTTCTGTAGCATGAAGCGACTAGGAGTATTTCTACTCCCTCCTGGATGGGTTGCCAGTCCATCACAGGGTTACCCCCAGCATTAAATTGCCGGTACCCATTTATACACCTGGGTGAAGAGAGGCACTGTGAGAGTAAAGTGTCTTGCCTAAGAACACAACACAATGTCCCGGCCGGGGCACGAACCCACACCACTCGATCCGGAGTCGAGCGCACTAACCATGAGGCCACCACGCCTCCACGAAAGTCCATATATGACATCCTAAAACAAACCACAATGCATTATAGGACGATTTCATAGATAAACTTACCCAGGACATACGATGATGCAATTTTAGCTCAATTTGTGGTACATCATGTGACTGATTCTACTAGAACAGTAAGGGTCAAGTAACTGTCGGTCAACTGTTGGTATATTGCTGGCCGACAGTTGGCCGACGGTCGGCCGATAGACTTTTAGGGGAGCTGTTCTTCACTTTTACCCAGATTTTTAAAAGCATAGCATTGCTGGAAACCTTTCAACGTTTCCTGAGGACTGTCTTACCAACTACTTTCTTCTGCCGTTTTGGCGGCCGCATTCCGATCAAAATTTCTTAACCTTCTGATAGAACAAGGAATCGAGGAACAGAAGCCGGTTAAACACAACTTTTGGGCAAACATCATCAAATCACCTCTCCTTTCAAACTAGTGCAATACTGGCCCTTTGGAAAAGTAAGTAAAGTTTGGGAAATGTTTATGACGGTGATGCATGCGTGTCCCAGGGTGCTTGTTGCAAATTCATTACTCTACAGCACTTAAGAGGCACTTAAAAAATTGGCCTGGCACGTAATGTTTGCATTTTCTTGCCTGGATATGTTGTCCAATGTAACACCGTTCATTACATTTTTACACTAGCACTCCAATATATGTTACCAACTGGCAGCCTGTATCGTGAAGCCGCCGTTTTACATATCCTCTGCGACCACGCAATATTGGCCCCTCCTCTCCCCTCCCCCTCAACCTACCGTTATGGTTGAGTGCTTAAGTGAGTGCTGTAATATTTGCATTGTTTCATTCCCTTGGACGTTGGAAATCGTGTTAGTGACCTCCTAGTATACCCTCTTTAGAGGCATGGAATAGTGTGCCAGCATATTCATTTGACTCTTACTGTTTTTATTTTTATGTTTTTAAAAATCTGACCACTGGTACGCTATAGGATAGGCCACAGGGTAGGCCATGGCCTACCCCATGTTTTGTCCACACCCGACATTAAAGTACACCTGTACACTAAAGTTGCTCAGATGGTAGCAATTGGTGTACCCTTGGCTTCATAGAGGACAGCAGTCATCTAGGCATTCAGACCTGCTCCCTTCTGCTCTATCATTTGTACTTATAGAGGCAATGGTCAATGATTATTCTTTAAAGCTGAGTTCTCTAGTTTTGAATTACTTTCAAGTCCCTTTTAGTCACTGTAACTGCATGTTGACCAGGACAAGAAAACAAACTCAACTGGCAGTTGTCTTGCTTCAATCTTTGATCTTGTACATGTCAGAAACATTTCTTCCAGCGAAGTCAAAGTTGCCTCATTACTACTATCTCAATTTTCAACAACTCCACCTAGTTAATGGTTTTTATTAAATTTGTTTGGGAAAAACTGATCACAATTTCTCTTTCCCAACTAAAAATTCTCTAGACATTTTTGGTATGAATATTGATAACAGGCTCTCTTTCGACAAACATGTATCCACTATATGTAAAAAGATTAACAATTAATTTAAAGTTAACTATGCAAAGATTCCGAAAACTCATCACCAGAGACACTCTATTAAAGCTGTATAAGGCCTTCATCCTGCTACATTTTTATGACTGCTCCTCTGTGTGGCACTTTTGCAGCACCCACAATTCTGGTAAAGCGGAGGCCTTAAACAAGCGGATTTTAAGGTTTCTTCTACAAGATTATGAATCCTCGTATAATACGTTTATTTTTAACTAACTTATTTTTAACTTTAGTTTATTTTTTACTAACTATCCAGGATATTTAAATGATATGTTTACATTTAGATCTATGTCCTATAACTTACGTGGTAATTACATCTTGTCCCTTCCAAAATCTAAAACTACAACATATGGCCTTCACTCTTTCTCTTACTTAGTTGCTAACTTATGGAACTCTCTCCCGGACACCTTTAAAACTTCCAATTTTCCAGACTTTCGGGGCCAAATACTTCAGTATGTCTCCTTTGTGTAATACTGAATTTAGTAGTATAATAATATTTAAATAATGCTAATATGTAAATATTTATTATCATTAATGTATTATTCATTTATTCTAGTTTAGCTTATTCCTTTTACTTCATTTTAATCACTCAAAGATATTAGCTTACAGCTACTCTTAAATTCGAGGTAAATAAAGTTTAGGTATGTATGTATGTATTCATCGTGCAACAATTAAGGTAAATTTTTTAACTTTCAAGTTATGTTGAAACATTTCTCAGTTTGATTTGTTTTGGCAGTGAAAATAACAATAAGGAATAAGATAAGATCTGATTTTAAAATCAAGCTTGATATACATTTCACCTGGACAAGTTATATAATACAGATAAATTCATTCTATGCTTAATATTAATGACCACAGCTTACTGTGTTTTTTTCTACATCTTTGTTTTGTTCTTTAAAATTCAATAGATGGTGGAGTGGCTCGCCTTCGAGTGTATGGAATAGCAGTCAAGGATTGGAAACAATTAAACAACAAGGTTAACTTTTTAGCACTTTGAAAATAGTGACAACTTACTGTACCTTTATATGTTCAACTTGATATTGTAAACTGGAACTAAAAAGAAATAAATTTTAAGTTCCTCCACCCTTTTCTTGGTAAAGGTTATTGGAGCAGGGAAAAAATATCTTTCACTGCAATACTATCTACTTTATTGACCATGCTTGGTACGTGTATCATGACCCAAAGCAAATAATTATTTTCCCATTCCGCCTGACCAAACTCAATCCATAAGCAATATATCATATGACCACAAATTTCTGAAAAACTTGAAACTTTTGTTTCAACCTACATAGGACATACTGACTTACCATAGAGAGGTGTGCATTGGAAAACTACTGAAAAGATTCTACAGTGAAAAATTTCCTTTCTTTTCTTCCAGTCTAAACAAGAAATTCTTAATTCATTAAGAAGCCTGACTCATTTTCTTCTTTATTTTAACTCAAGCTTAAGTCCACAATTTTGATCCATCTTCTCGGAAAATGCAAATAAAGCTGTATTAGAGCATCGCTGGACTTCAGGCAGTTCTATTCCATTTAACCACAGGTTTTTTAGCCCTGATGGCTGATCTTTTGGTTATGGTTGGACTAACCACAAGTTCCTTTCTCTCCAATAGTTGTTCAGGATTTTCCACTTGGGTGTCTATGAATGAAGATCAAACCCCAAAGATAGACCATAGATTTTAGAACTATTTTATTTTTTTTAATAATCAGATCAAGCTCAGAGAACCAAACAATTGTCACCTAAAGCAATCAAACAAAGAATATACCAGTAGTACAAAAATAATGAGGACTGTGTTTCTCACTGAATTTAAATACCAGCTCAACAAGTTCTTGTCTCACGTGACAAACTTGAGGTAGAAAGACATATGTGACATGTAAAGTAAAGTCAAATACACATAGGTCAAAGTAGCTACAATAGGAAGGTAGAACAAAACATTTACAAATACTTCATTTGCATACTGTGGAGCACAGTACCCCTTGTGTGATGGTTAATTGAGATAAAATACATTTTTGCTATGCAGATGCCTGTTGACTTGGTAGCCATGGAGAATGGTGGAGTGGTTGTAGGTTGGAGTGACATGCACTTTGGGCACCCTCGAAATCTAATTGCTCCTGGGTTAGCAGCTAACATGGGTGAAGGCTGGGAGACTGCTCGCAGGGTAAGACCTGGTTTTGTTGGAACATCATTAAAGCAGCCCTCTTTTTTTTTGTCCAGTTTGTAACCCATGGGGTGTAAACCATAGCACAAAATTCTAAATTATTTGAAGTTCTCACAAAGGAATTTATCTAGGAATTCTCCTTCACTTTGATTTTGAACTGGTAAGACATTTGAACTTAGAAAGTTAAGAGCTTTCAAGTAATTGAAATTTACTCACAAGGATAATTATTACAATAATATTATTAATAGTGCCTTATATGCTAAGCTAAGCTGAGTTGTGGTCATCAGCTAGAACTGGCTAACTCAGTGGGCCTTCCTTGAGAAATCAGTTTGTACCTGTACACATTTATTTTATTATGTTAGCTCAAAATTGCTGTTCTGTATGAGGTTTTTTCATGATTTAAACCACTTACAACTCTAAGTTTTGTAAATAACAAGCTTTATGCGGTACAGAATGAGCTCAGCACTTTATGCTATGTGATTGGTCCTTGCCTATTGGAGACACCTGAGACATACAAAACTTGGACGGGGATCCATGTACCACCATTGTAGACCTGGTTAATAGACCCCTTCCATGGACTTGCATCCCCAATTTTTAACGGTCACTCAATTATAGCCAAATCTAAAGAACACGAAAATATAGGGAAATGTACTAGGTGATGCCATAGGAAAGATTTGTTCAAGTTTTCATTTATAATCCTTAAATTGAATGTCATTTGCTCTACAAACTAACTGTGCTTAAATATATTATGCAGACATACAGATGACTTCTAAGTAATAATCATTAACTAATGAAGGATTTCTTGTTAAAGATAAACCAGAACAAGAACATATTAAGTGAAAAGTACACAAACTACACATTTCAAAAATAACACATGAAAGTGGTCCATGGAAGTGGTCCATGGACTGGGTTTGTGAGGTGGTCTACACATGGACCAACCCCACAGTGCAAGTCTAGGTCAGTTGCACCCCAGCTAGGTACTTTTTTACCCCTTCTTTGTTTTAACTGCATTTTTTTTAGATCTAAATCTACTAACAACAAACATATGAAACATATGTATGAACTGCGGTTATGAGACGTATATGTGAACGATCCTTCGCAGTAAAGCACTATTTGAGCAATAGTGAAAATCAGACCTGAAAAAAATTTCAGGCCTGTACGGGATTCGAACCACTGACCTCTGCGATACTACTGCAGCGCTCTACCAATTGAGCTAACAAGCCAACTGGGAGCAGGCCATCAAATTAATTCGACATAAACCCGTAGATGATAAATCAAACAACAACAAACATATGAAACATATGTATGAACTGCGGTTATGAGACGTATATGTGAACGATCCTTCGCAGTAAAGCACTATTTGAGCAATAGTGAAAATCAGACCTGAAAAAAATTTCAGGCCTGTCAGGTCTGATTTTCACTATTGGTCAAATAGTGCTTTACTGCGAAGGATCGTTCACATATACGTCTCATAACCGCAGTTCATACATATGTTTCATATGTTTGTTGTTGTTTGATTTATCATCTACGGGTTTATGTCGAATTAATTTGATGGCCTGCTCCCAGTTGGCTTGTTAGCTCAATTGGTAGAGCGCTGCAGTAGTATCGCAGAGGTCAGTGGTTCGAATCCCGTGCAGGACAGGCCTGAAATTTTTTTCAGGTCTGATTTTCACTATTGTTCAAATAGTGCTTTACTGCGAAGGATCGTTCACATATACATCTAAATCTACTATTGCACAAAACACAGAAAAATGGAATCTTGTGAATATCATGATTGTGAAATGGCAAGAGTAGTGATCACTTCAACTAAGTGTTTCTTTTTTTTTTTGTAGCTGGATCGTCCTAGTATAATTGAAGTAGGAAGAGATGGATGTCTAGAAGTACAAGGTTAGTTAATTGAAACTTTTAACAAGATCATTAAACTTGTGACCTCTACATGTACAGTATTAAACTTAAAAAAAAACAAAGAATTGAAAAAAATAGAATAAATTAACCTAGCATGAATTATTTGGTGCATGATGTTTAGATTTCTTATAGTTCTGAGAGCAAAATGATGTCATTACCCTTTGCCATAAGAGTCCTCTACTTACATCTTATAGCATCAGCTGACACCAGCTATGATTGCAAAGTACATATGCAGCATAGCTCTATACTGCAGAAAATTTGTCAATCAAGCTCAGAAATTCCCTTGACTTTACAATGATATGCCTTAACCTGATTAGAGTAGGTAATGCCCATACATGCGTCCATGTGTACACTCAGCACACTCGGTGTCCATTGACAAGGAAACATAGTATAAATATGATATGTGCGACCTGGAAAAGTGAACTTACTTGAGTGCAGTGTAATGCTATGGAGTACTGTAGGTACAAGATTCCATATTACACCTGTGCTTCACAGGGGCAAGTAGATGTGAAATAGATGTGGGAAGTTGATTCAGGCAGGAAATCACATTGTCCAAGTCAGAGTTGAGAACAGGTTTTTTGTGTATTTTACAACATCCACTGAATATACAAGGCATAATTATTGTCAGTTAATGGCCATGTCAAATGGAAATAATTATTCAAAGTCAATGTTGAGGAGACAATCTTTACTAAGTGATCAGAGATAAGGAAGAGAGAGAGGGATAGTTAAGAGTAGTGCCAAAGAGAACAAGAAAGTGCTATCTATAGTAGGTACATGTAGAAATATAAGTAATACCACTGCTGAAGAGGTACATTTACATGTACCTCAAATTATAAATCAATGCAGTTTTCTAAGAAGGTTCAGGGCTTTGTTTGTATGTTGAAACAGACTCCTTGTAATATTATTTTTACTTGCTTCCTTGTTAGAAACGAAAAGTTGTCAGTGAGAGTTTTTTCTGTGGAACAGTTTTTCAATATGATCAGCTTAGAATTCATGAATACTCTCAGATTGAAACAACAATCAGAAAAGAAACAAGAAATTATTGGAAGACAGAGAAATAGACAGCCATAAACTTTACTATTGTGAGAAAAAGGTCTTCAACTCTAGAAGGAAATCTTCTACAAACTATAGTTTCCTGATAAGTACAATAATTAATCAGCTGCAGCTGTTGTTTTAGGCTTGGCTTGATATATTTTGTATAATCATCAAATAGACAAATAATGCAACCAACTGGGGTGTCACTATGAGTAGGAAAAATAACTGAGTCGCATTGATTGGCTGCAGTTTATCCTTAATCCACGCTAGTAATGTTTTTTGCAAAGTATGCAAAATGAATGACACTTGTTTGTAAGTTACCTTCAGTTGTAAACTCATATTAATCAGGCCTACTAAGAATGTATTGGTGATTAATCATTGATGCCTTAAATACACATATGCATAAATACATATGCCTTAAATATATAATTTAATCACAGGTTGTGAATGGGCAGTTATTCAGTTAGGACATCAAGGAACTTTGAAAAAGGTAGGATTTATTTTATTAAACCAGGAGGGCATAAAAAAACTCCGTTGTTTTCAACCTCAGGAAACTAAGGTTGTATTAAGTTATATATCTGTGTGTTTTCTTGTAGATTGAAATTGACACCAATCACTTTAAGGGCAATTTTCCCCATTCCTGTCTAATAGAAGGTAAAAATTAATGAACATAATGGTGATAGTGATGACAAAGATACTAATCATTTCAGTATTGATAATAATATTAATCATAATCAGATCAAAACTACAGCAAAATTCTCAAACACAATTGTTTCTCACCACTTGGATTTTAACACTAATTGGACAATGTAGGCATCATGCTTGTAATTGGTTAATGTTATTGGACAGCATACACATCATGCCTGTGTAATTGGATGGTGAGTGTCGTGTGCGCTTGCTGTTGTTGCACATTTTGCAGAGAGAACCATGATTGTTCTTTTTTCAATAAATTGTTTAATGGTAATAGGACTTTGTCATCCAATTCTGTCTGTAATCATACTTATAATTAACAAATTGGATTGTTTTGTTAATCACTCATGATTACGAAGTGAATTGGACAAACCATTAGTAATAAGAGTCACAATGCCAACACTGGTAATAATCAGGATAACAAAACTAGGATGCTTGGTGGAGCATCATAAAATTGGAAGGTCTGGGGTTTGAGTCTCTGGGAGGACTCAAATTTTTTGGGGCCAAACCAAAAAGGGACTGTACTCAGTATTTATCATCGTACTTACTTTATCCATTGCTGGTAGTAATAGCATGTCATGCCTGAACCTACATTGTTGTGATAACCTACCAAAGCTCACCAAATAATTCTCTGTAACCCAGAGGGGGGTGGGGGGGGGTAGGGGGCAAGTCGACAAGTTTACAAATTACACTACTGCACACTAAAAATTACCAGTGTACTCTTTCTGGTGTCATTAATTTTGTCAAAGACAGCCAGGATTCCACAAATTATTTATAAGGGAATAATTGTACCCAAGATGATAAAAAAGTAATATTTGACAACAGAATAGAAAACAGGTTAAAAAATCAAAGGCCCTGAACACAATCACAATAAATACCTTCAGTTACTTGAACGTGTATTTTCATTTTACAAAGTCTTTCTAATCTCTAACCAGTTTCCTAATTTTTTGTGGCTAAAAGCTTTTTCTTTTAGTTAGTATTGTTTATAATCATGATTATTGTCATTATAACTGTTATTTGTTATTATAATTATTATTATTGTTGTTTTTAATGTAATTTACTTTTATAAGGTTAATTTCGATGCACGTTTTTTTTTAATTCTTTCAATACGAACT